TATATTCTAGTGATAGTCGATGCATTCACTAGATATTTATGGCTTCACGCTCTTAAGGACTGTAATTCAAGATTGATAATCGCAAAACTTCAGCAAACCTTTGTGAATTTTTCAACTCCGAGGATATTAGTGTCTGATAACGCTTCATATTTCATATCCAAGGAATTCAAGGCCTATTTGTTTAAACATTTCATCGAGCACCGTCGTATAGCGATATATCGTGCAAACGGAAATCGAGCTGAGAGATTTATCAGAGATGTGTCTACACTATTGCGATGTTTTTATCACAACAATCAATCTAATTGGGATGACAATTTAGGTTTGGTCCAACTTAGTTTAAACACAGCTGTAAATTCGTCTACAGGTCAAACAGCCTTCCAAATGATGTTTTATCATGAATGTAATAACGCACTATCAAATGTTTGGAATATACAGGATTTAATTTCAACAAAGCTAACTGAAGATGAGAAGAAAGAAAATTTAACCAAAGCTATAAACAACATCAAGAGAAGCATTAAGAAAAACCAAGAACGTGCGAAATACAGGAATCCAACATCGCCATTCACTGTCAATTCTATTGTTTATGTCCGCACTCACTATTTGAGCAACAAAGTGAAAAACTTTTCTAAGAAGCTTGCTATCAAATATTCTGGACCATATAGGATATTGTATTTCATCACGGACGTAACAGTTTTGATACAGAACGTGAATAATTATCAAGACGTGAAGAAAGTACACATTGTGGACCTCAAACTAGCAGAAGACAAATGAATGTGTTTTAAACCCGATGCTTACACCGGACTGAGAGGACTGAAACTACTTCAGAAGATTGTATTACTTTTTTAGAGTAATGTCAGGGAATGTATATTTTTATTAAGGAGGTATACAGAAAGAAAAGCGAATTATTTTAGCAAACAATGGCGAAAGAAAACCAAAATTTCAATAATTAAATAAAATTAAATGTTAATAAATATAGCACATTCATTTAAAATAGTGAATCAGGATGAATGAATGTGTGAGTAAATGTATAGTTCAAATGTGAGTGTAAATGTGAGCAAATGGATTGATCAAATGGGTGAGAATGTGTGTGAAAGTTTTGACTAAATTAGTAAATAAGGATACGTGACTCTGAACACTTGACACTAAACTGTTACTTATACACTTATACGACAGGCCATACAAAACACAAACTTTAACGCGCACTAAATATACTAAACTTATAACTAAAACACGACACATCACACTAAAACGCACGCACTTCAACTAGTTTCAACTAATGTGAGCAAACAGGATTTTAAATGAATGCAGTTTTTATCTTATCTTTGGTATTCGTGATCATTATCATTCTTCCTTTTGGGCATAGTTTGCTGAATAATCTGCCTTGTTTTAAAAAGGGATATAGGAAAGTTTTGTTTGAATCAAATAAATGGATTTGTATTTATTTATATGTAGTTTTAAAATGGTAGTTGATGAAATCACAAAGAAAAATGTTAAGTTAAAAGAAATGTTTTAAGTCAAATTAATTTGGTTTCATATAACAAAAAAAGCAACAAAACTGAAGGCCCGCGCATTCTAGTGACAAACTATTTATACTACAATAGGTTATCTGAACTAACCGGATATTGTATTGAGCCGAGCTATTCTATTTCATTGTTGTGTATTTCATAGTATTGAATCTTGTAAATATCATTGTTTGTTATTAAGGAAACAAAAATTTGAACTAAATTTACTATGATTTTTTTTTATTTTGAAGTGGCGGAAAATTTATACTGATTCTTGTATTGTTTGTTTAAAAAAAAAAATCCAGCAAATTTAGTTATAGTATGTAAGAAGCATAAGTTGATTTATTTTAATTGTTTGTAGTGGTAACATTGTTTCTTTTTTCATTTCCCTCACAAAGTTTGATTTCATTCATAATTCTGTATCTCATGGCAGGCAAATCTCGTAGACATTGTAAGTACAAAATATTATTATCCATTAAAATCTAGGAAAGTAAAATCTGAAATTAAAATTTGTATTAAAAATACTATTGAACATGGATATGGGAAAATAATATTCACTGTTGGTTAACCTCAAATTCTAAAATATGTTAAATTAGGTTATAAGTATGTTAACTTGCAAAAAGCACATTGTACGAAAGAAAATGGTAATTGAAATTTATATTTAGAATAGTTATATTAGTAATATTTATGCATTTGTATATTTTTTTTACAGACGAGTTCCTGTATTAAAATAGAGCTCTACGGAAGGCCATCATAAAGTAAGACTGTTTCAATTAAATAATTAGGTATTTAGGGCTGAGATACAGAGGTATAATTTAACTAAAGGAAAAGTATATATTTGTTATGATTACATTTATTTTGTTAATAAAATGTCATTGTTGTACATGAAAATGAAATGGCTTCTTTTTAACTTAGGCTGAATCCTATTGAAGTTATATAGTTCTGTAGTATAAATCATTACATTTATACTTTTATTGGACCTTACGAGTATAACTGCTCGCCGTTACTACTTCGTAAGGAGTGGTGAAACTCCTTACGTCATGGACATGTTTCCCTCCTTTCCATAGCATTTTAGGATTGCAGATACATTAATGTAATTGCCACAAATGGTTCCCCCACTCTGCGATGCCAGCCTTTACTACTTCCTTCACCACTTCCTACGTCGCGGACCTGTTTCCCTCCCTTCCCATAGCATTTTAGAATTGTAGATACCTTAATCTAATCGTCATAAACAGTTCCCACACTCCGGACTACTCGCATTTACTACTACCTACGTCTTGTACACTTGTTTTCATCTCTTTCCATAGCATTTTAGTATTAAATACATTAATCTAATTGCCACAAACATTCCCCACACTCCACAATGCTCCTTTACTACTTCTTTCTCCATTTCCTATGTCGTGGATATGTTTCCACCCCTTCTCATAGCATTTCAGTGTTGCAGATACATATTATGCGACGTAGGAAGAGGTGAAGGAAGTAGTAAAGGTGAGCAGTCTGGAGTTTGGGAACTGTTAGTGGGGATTAGATTAAGGTATCTACAATCCTAAAATGCTGTGAGAAGAGAGGAAAACAGGTCCATGACGTAGGAAATGGTGAAGGAAGTAGTAAGGATAGCAGTGCAGAGTGTGGGAAATGTCTGTGGCATTTATGTATCTGCAACACAGTAAACAGTTTCCACACTCCGGACAGCTCGCCTTGACTACTTCCTTCTAGTTCTAGACTAGTTCCTACGTCGCGGACCTGTTTCCCTCCCTTCCCATAGCATTTACCACATATATTTCTTATTTAGCATATACTAAGTTCAACCTAAAAATACCAAAATAAATGGTATCAGCAATCTGATACATACTTTCTCCCATTAGCTTGTCAAAAACCTTTATCATGGGTAAGCGTTGAGAGTAATTATGATATTTAACCCTTCTCGGACAGCCTATAGCATAGATAAAACATACTCCCTTACTATATTTTTCATCCTTATGGAACAGCTGAAGACAATTTTATTGTTAGTTCTGTACGGTTTATGTAGAGGTCGTGTTTTGTTTACAATTTGTTTCCCGGTATTACAGTCGTTTAAAACCTCGTTTAACCAATTAATACGATCTAATCATAAACAATAACTTGTCCCCTAGTTATATAACCATACAGTATTGTACAAATCAAGAAATTAACCCTAAAATTATAAAAACAACATTTCATTGACACTAGCGCCCAGTGTCACCGTACATGAACTAGACACGAAAAACGTGCTTCAAAATTTACAATGGGACGAGAAGTCTACTTGTGTTGTTTAGTCTATGCCTATAGTATGTAAACAGACAGCAAAATTATTATATTAGGATAGAAACTAAAAAGTATTATCTTTTTTCTATCTATAGTATATAGAATGTTGAAAATAGTTTACCTATGCAGAACTTTTGTCCAAAATAATTTTTGTTATCCTTTTTTCACCTTTTTAATTTTTTTTGTTACGGTACATAAAAAATATTTATTAAATTTTTATTCTTCTAGGAAAACATCCCTTGTACATCAGCTAAAGATACAATTGGAAAAAAGATGTTTTTACAAAGATTATTGTTGTTATGTACAATCTACTATAACAATAGATGTCGTAATAATCGGCGGATATATCCGCCTACAGTCTAGGAAGGGTTAATAGGTAAAATCACATAAGTTGCATTAACATTTGAACCAAAATTTTTGCAGGAATGGGGGTTGTTCTATTTTGATAGAATTATAAAGATCTTAACTACCTAACAAATTTCAAACAGAAATGGTGTGTTTTTTTTAAATCAATTTTTCTATTTTCTATAGGTTTTTATGAGAAAATAAGTTACGATAACTTTTGAACCGTAATTTTTACAGGAATTGGAGTTCTACAATTTTTTTGAAATTTAAAGGGCTTCAACATACTAAATTTTATTAGAGTCGTTTGGGCCATTTTCAAAAAAAACTTTATTTTTCTGTTAGGCCTATTTTATGGTTTTTTTTATGGAAAAAACACAATTAAAAATCAAAATTTAAAAAAATATTTAAAAACCCTGGAGATACCATGGGTTAGTGCCTACATACCACATTAAATCAAAGTCGGACAATAAGAGGTGTGGTCTGTAGCTCTGTACACATCCACACATACAGACAGACACACCCACACACACACACACACACACACACACACACACACACACACACAGACAGATATCACTCCGAAAACTACTGTTTTGGGTTTAGGGGGACCCAAAATGGATATATCCACTCAAAACTCAAACCTACAGATTTTGACAAAAACAATACTTTTTCATATAGGTATGGGGAGAAAGTAAAAATCAAACCATGACTGAGCATGGCTTAGTTTTATGATAATCAATGCTTGTTTTACAAATCAAAATAATTGTAAAAAATATTATAGTCCTCCATACCTAATTTATGTGTGTAAAACACTCTTCACCCTTGATATAAATAATTTCAAAACATGACGTAGTACAATGTAGGCCCTACCTTATACTGTAGAGGACGGAACCATATGGAAATATTCTGATGTACACATTTGGCATGATGATGTTGTGGAAGTGTCCCTCCTTCTCATTGGAGAAGAACAGATCTGGCATCCACACTCTGTTTGCCTCTGTTAGTGTTAAATACTTGATCTTGCCTGAAACATACCAATGATAACTATCCGTCTTTTAACTTAAATAATAAATTATTTTGCTTAACTTCATCTGTGTAAGGATTCTCTGTTCTATGTCCATGTGTAGAAAAGTAGTCACAATGATTTAGTAAATATTTTAAATACAGTACAGTGCTGGTTTCACCTGGATACATTTTGTTATCATGGATGATAGTCGATAGCACAAACACTCTTTTAAATCAAATCTTGTTGGCTGTGTTGGCTGTAAATCAGCTTAAATGTTGTTTTGGAACTTGAGAAATTAGATCAAACATCTGCAAACCTTTTCAGTTTCTTTAGGTATTTTTGCCTGCATGTTTTGTCACATTAAAAGCATCGAGAGCTCCTGTATGACTTGTTTAATGTTTACCTCTAATCTTAGATTAAATACTATGTTTTGAATCAATTTGCTCTTTTTAGCCAATTTCCCATATAGGGAAATAAGCTATTACCGTAGTACTCATGGTAAGACCTGGACCCGGGACCGAATTACTTTTTCGTTTTGAGGTCCCTAGAGGCCAAAAACACCATCCGTTCAAATTCATAAATATATATGTATATATATATGTGTCCGTTAGCACGATAACTCAAACAAAAATGATCCGATTTTGATGAAATTTGGTATAGATGTGTAAACCTACATTTATTCAAACGAGTTCGCGAACCAGCATGATTGTACTATGGGAACGGGTGTTTATGGGGGGTTTTATGGGGTAAAAAATTGGTTTTTCCCATTTTGACCCCAAAAAATAATATTTAGCAATTTCTTTCCAAATCATTTTGTAGAACTTAAAAAAACTTAAAAACAACTTAGTATATTGAAGCGTTATTATTCGCCTAATGGTAACGGAGAAAATTCCAAAAAACTGTAAATTTAAAATTCTCATGTTATTCTAATGGAGAATAAGTAAACTGTTATAGTTTGCTTGTTTATGAACATATTTTGATCAAATTTGGAAAATTCATTTATTTCTTACTAAACTATTAACATTTTACAAAAAAAAAAAAACACTTTACCCTCCTTGTTGCAGCAAACATAAGTACTTGTTAAAGTAATTATATTTAAATAAGGAATGCATGTGATATTTTTAAGGAGAAATTTTAGTGTAAATCCAATCAGGCAAATTGAAATTCGCTTAGTCTGCAGGTTTGCTGCGGCGGGGGTATTTAAATTCATGCCGTAGCTTTAGTGGGTGGTTGAATTATCAAATTCCAAGTAAGAGCTTCTATCATATTAGCAGTATTTTATTAACTAATATCCACCAGAGTGACTCTATTTGGAATCGTAGTATTGTATAGTATGGCATTTAAATCACCATTGTTAACAAATTTTATCAGGAACAAAATTTCAGTTGTAACACATTGAACTGACCTTTAAAATCATCAAACTTGAGTCTTTCATCCAGCCACTGCTCTCTGAAGGTCAGCTGGACACTGTATTCCTAAAACACATAATGAGTATTAGATCAAATAAATTACTTTATTGCTAATCACATAAACATCTATATTGCTAATGATTTAACACATTTTTTAAGGGATTGTGGTTCAATATATTTTACTTGTTTGTTACTACTATGTTAAATGTGAGTAAAATGAAATTGAATTACACAGTGTTTTTGATGGAACTTATCTGGTAAATATGGGCTTCTAATGAATTCCATATCCAAGACTCATTAAGTATATGATTATAATGTACATTTAACTGGATCATGTTCCATGTATAGATATACATCTATAGATCTATAGACATTTATAGATTTATTTGCAAACATTAAAATAAATACCTATATAGTGTTTCAAAATAAATATTGCAGTTTTAATACTCTTTAATGTATCTTAAAGGTATATTACATTGCACTTTTTAAAGTTAAAATAACACATCAAACGAAAAAGTACAAAACAGAAGTCAAACATCACTGCCATATTTAAGAAGACAGATAGCCATTGTAAGGCACTGTACCCGATTGCTTTATGACGAATCTTGTCCTAAATCCATGTATACTTGATCAGACATTATGTTGAAAAAGAATCATTTAAGTGTGTGTAGTTGCCTCCACTACAAACTGATCCACCTTAGTTAGTTAACAAGATTTCATCAGATAGTGCAACTATCACTCCAGAAAAATGTATCTACGGTACTTGTGGAAGGGTAAATGCATATAAAATGTGTTACAATAGCTATTGATATTGACTAGTAACTGGTCATCATCAGGCCTGACCAGGGACTGAGAGAATCGAAATGGCGTCCTTGCATAAATACTGGTGGTTGCCGGAAATTGAACAAGCCAACTTTGATCCAGCCAAAACTGATCTGAATTTGTTTCCAGGACTTCCGGCAACCTAAGAATAAGACATATTTATTTCAATTGATTTTTATAAAAAAAATAGGACACATAATTTGTTATACATAGTTACATGGTGATTCAGTCTTTACAGTATGATATATATATCTAAAATTTAAATAACTACTTACATTCTTCTTACAACTTACAAAATGAAAGCTTTATTTTAAATTACTCTTCAACATCTAATATTTATTTTACAACTTATATAATCATAAATTTTGTAAAAAGGATTTTTAACCATCCAGTCATACAGTTAATTTTTTTTAAATACTGTAAGAAACTAATTTTGACTCTTCAGGCAACTTATTAAAAAACTTTATAGAATTTCATTTATGTGGATATTCGGTTTTTACCAATCTGTGCTGCTATATATCTATAGTACTTAAGTAAGACACCATTTCATGCTCTAGTCTCTTAGGGCTCTTACACTGGCCGCCCATGTTACCCGCCACAGCTTAAACATAGTTTTCAATAGGGGCCTTCAGACGAGGCCACTGCAATTGCTCGTGAGGACTCGCACGACTGCGAGCCATCAACCGCTGTGGCAACAACTCACCGCGGATCATTGAACTAAAAAGGAGCTTTCAGACAAAGCCACTAGTGGCCGCCACCGGACTCACGACATCACCTGTTTTGGGGTAAACAGTCAGTTAACTTTAAAAATCATCAAATGACACTTTGGACATGTACGGAAATAGTTTTAAATATTTTGTCGGCACACAGTTTGTCAAACTACGTTCAATAAAGGCCACTGCACTTCCTAAACACTAGGTATTGGATGGTGATGGAACATACACCTGCCTCTTTGCCTTCTTTTCTTGATTTGTAATGCGAGAAGATGTTTATTGTTTGTCAGCATTTTCTTGACTAGTCGTGCGGTGGCAATTGGTGGAGTGGCTTGACAGTGGCCTGTACCATCAACTGCAGTTCACCGGCCACCTCTTAAAGCTACCGATGGCCTCGTGTGAAAGAGCCCTCATAAGCTCAGATGATGACCAATGTCAAGAAACGTCAAGAACGTTTGCTATTCCAAAATCTTTTATTTGAAGTCTTGTAAATATTTACAGTATTTACAAATGTATCAAAAAGTGCATAAACACATATTTTATAATTTTCATGTATAAAACTTTAAAATTGTTGGTATAGTGTTGAAACCAAGCATTGAAACTACTATATTAAATTTGAAACACGTTGATTTGTTTTCTTACAAACTATTTAAAAAACTTGGCAAATTCTTGAATTGTATATGAATTTGATAAATACCGAGTTGTATCATGAAACAGCACAAATACAATGTTTGTCATGCAATTGAAGTTATTGTTTTTGACAGTTCACACAGTTTTATCTTCCTAAACAAAATTAGGAGTTTTGATTTTTTTCAAACCCTTCATATAAATTTTTAAAATGTATGGACTTATTAGATTACTAACAAGATTCTGAATTTTTGGATTATTTTAATATTATAAATCAAGAGTCATAAAAAATAGGCCTTATTGTATTTATTATCAAAACATTTAACTTAAAAAAGATTGTTTGAATGAAATAAAAATAGTTCTAGTTGTGACTCCTAGAAGATGCTTTGATGCGATATTAGATGTATTTATGTATACAGTCTGAAACTTTACCCACAAGCTTTTTAAACTTCTGAACGGACCAACGATTTTCTCATGACTTACTGGTGATTTGCTAGCTATATTTTGGGAACTGCTAATTTCTGACTTTTAAGTTTTATTTTTGTCTTAATAATAAGCCCTGGATTTTTTATGTATCTTCATTACATAATTTAGTAAATTAAATTGATTTATGGCAATCCCTAAAAAGATTATAAGTACATACTTATTTTACTAGCATGCAGGGTAATGATTATCTCCAGAGTCCAGTCACTACTGTTCATTATCTGGTAGAGAAGTAAAAAATTCTACTTTCAAGCATTTTGAAAAAGGTTTTTGCGGTTTAACTCCATGACAGTTTTAAATATATCAGTTAAAAAGGCACATTTACAATTGAAATACAGTAAAGTAAAAAAATCTTTTTATCCAAAGTAACTTTTGAATGTTATCATCAATACTTACCTCTAGACCTCTAAATATTAGCATAGAATCACAAAGGTGAAAGATTGTAATGCACATTTTTGTGTGTAAGTAGGTTAAACGACAGATTATTAATGATTCTTAGCTCAAACCCAAATTAAAAAAAATGTTTAAAACTACTTTAAATTTAAAATAAGTCATGCATCAAAGGGGTTTGTTTTTCAGAATGTTCTCATGTCTTACAACAAATCTATAAATAATCAATGAACACAACTATGTTTCTTGAGGTTATCAGGAAAAGACATGTATTTTATTTTACACTATAATTATATATTTACATTATTTACATATGAAAGCGGACAGCAAGTGCGAGGGGGAGGTGGGAGATGTGTTCACTACAGAAAGAAGCTTCAACTCTACACAACATGAACATATCAGAACAAATGTATTTACAACATGCGGGCTTACCTTTTTTGCTGGGGAGAACATTGTTATACTGTAAACAAGAACTACACACGTTTTGCTTAATGTCTGGCATTTGAGCAAGAGATCATAAACGAACACTGCAGTTCATATGGACACACAGATGCATTCACAGACATAAACAGTCGGTCATTCAAACGTTTAATTTTTTTATGTATATCACGAAGAAAATATGAAATCATTCTAAATATTTCAGTCAAAGCTAGACACTAAAAAATTTAAATTAAATTATTTAATTCTCGACACACAGCTTTTTAAAAAAACTTGAATATTTGATTTAAAATATTTTTGCATACCACCTTAAGACATTTATTAAGCATTTAGGGCTCGGAACTCAACATGAAATGTTTATATACAAAAGACATGATAAGGGAATATAGACAAAAATACCAATACGTCAATGAAATTATTATTCATGATATCATATAGATTTAGGCGCACATAGACAATCCATGGACCAGGCGACCAGGCAATGCGCAGCATCACACGACACCAAACAAAAACAATGACATCAATGGCGAAAAATGAAAAATAGTGAGATAGGTGACGGCAACACGGGCTCAACACAGCCAAAGAATCTGTACTCAACATTGGGGCAGAATGCAGGATCTGGAAACACAACTACAGTATGGTATAGTATACCAACTTTGGTCATGTTATTTACCTTGTGTGAATATCAGTAACAGTCTGAGGAAATGGAAAATAGTTTTTTCATAAACAGTAGTATTTTACCATTATTGTCATATTTTTCTATAACTTCAATGTTACTTAATTTTTTTTCAATTTTCTACATTTGTTAAAAATTGTTGTATTAAAAAGTATCATATAATATTAAAGGTAAACTGCTGTTAATCTAAAGTTCTTCATTGCACCCTCTCTTTCTGACTGAGAATTGAAAATCAAAATACGATCAAAATGTTCCTTCCTGTTTTATAATTGTTCTATACTTTTAAAAAATAGGCTAAGCGCTATTGACTAAAGATTCCTATGCCTAACCAAAAATTTTATCTCTTAGGTCAATCTAAGTTGTTCTATTTTTTTAAATCGAGTAAAATAGTTTTTGACTCTTTAAAATGTGTTTCTGGGCAAATGATTCCTTCATATGGGATTTTGTAACAATCGTTAAATCTTGTTAAACTTGTTATCTCGTTTAATTCTATGGCTTAATTTATAATACAATACTAGCTCTGGAGATGTAAGTTTATATGTAAACGTTTACCTGACTACAATTAGCTGTCTTATACAGAGTTCAGTTGTATGTACAAAATAAATGTGTAGAATGTGGCTGACTAGGTGTATAATACAGCATTTAGGTTCATGCTATCGGTGTGTTTTGGAAGAGGATTATAGAGAAGGATATTATTGTTGATAAAGCTGCTAAGCTACATTCTCCATTGTGGGTGTGGCAAGCTTCAGTATGTACATTCCATATGACATAGACACACGCACACACATACAGTCCAGTGTGAGAATACAGCCAACTCGGACCCTCCGACCTACACTCATCTTTCAGGTAAAATAAGTATTAATGATGATCAGTATTGGTATTTGGTAGTATTGACTGAAACACACGCTTGACGTTTT